GGCAGAAGCACTAGCGCACTGAGCAAGTCCAGAGGTGGCCATGTGTTTCTTTCTAACAACGAAATACCTTTGACTAATAATTTAGCCGAAGATATTAGGGACCCAGCTCTGAAGGTGACAGTGCCGGAGTCATGGCACGCCACGTCATTTAGAGTTAAAGTGTGGATCATCCCGTCCTGCTCAGAGATTTCAGTCACAAAGTTGTTGTGAAGGGGAGATCCATCGAGCCACCACTGCACGTTCTTCACGCCCGGGTGCGAGAGCTCGCAGGTGAACGTGGCCGACTCGCCCACAAAGACGTCTGTGTTCTTTAAACCAGAAACTATGACTGCTGCTTCTTCTGTATAACAGAGCAAGAGAAGGTGCCAAAGGAAAACAAATCATGAACATATACATGTCCTTTCCTGCAGAACCAGCCCAAGTGACAGCTCAAGTTGTCCGGGAGAGTTAAAGTTGTAATGCTGTCCCAGGGAAAAAAGAGCTTAAATTTTCTTTATGGGATTGAAACACCACCTTCCATCCTTCACTCGCTTGCAAAAGCAAGTGTGTGTGTCTCCAAACACTGTTCCATCAGGAGGAACCTCTACGCCATGACCAGGTCATGACTGCCTCTCCTCTGTGTTGCAACCACCTGCGCTGACATTGTGTGAGGTGGGAGGCAGAGAGGTAGCGTCAGGTTTAGAGGGGATGTTCACTTACAGTGCTTTCAAAGAGTAATAAAAATATCAATGAGAGAAGCTGTCATCGGTCATAACAAGAATTTCAGTATTTTTCTATGACTATTACTCCAAGCAAATAGTTTTTCAGCAGTACCATCCTCTGCTATGGCACACAACATGGTCAGTACTTTGAACTACCGAAATTTATAAGCATTGGTCCGACCTCAGCCTGGATGCAAGTGTCTATATCTTCACTGAAATGAGGAAAGAAACGAATGGACTTTCAACTGTTTGCATCTGAGGCAAGTTTGGCCAGTTACTGTCAAAGATTTCGGCATAAGAAATCCAGGCAGGAGAATCAGAGCATTTCCCCCATGTTTCGCCTTACCTTGCACATACACAGAACCTGTGGTGATCTCGTATCCAGTGCTACAGGTATAATCCCCACAGTCATCAGGCTCTACACCATGGATAATCAGCTCAGCAATGCTGCCTTTCAGTTTCATCTCGTACTTGTCACTGGGCTGAATGACCAGCCCTCCTTTTCTCCACTCAACTGGGGCACCCGGCTTGGAGATCTCACAGCGCAAGACAGCTGTTCCTCCTTCTTCAGATTCCACGTTTTTCAGCTCTTCACTAAACAGCACAGGTAGTACTGCAGTGGAGAAGCAACCACATCAGTGACAGTGCTCAGAGGTGAGAAACTCGCTTGCAAGTCCTTCGTCTTGGCAGTTCTCCTCTTTCTGAACCACGACTTGCCTGCTGGCAATGCCAAGCCCAGAGCAGGACTTTTGAGTTGGGCCATAGCCACTCATGGGGATCAGCTGCTGATACAGCAAGGGTGTCCACTGCTGCTCCATCAAGGATTGCCATGGGTTACAGGACCTCTAAAGGGCTTCATGTGGGCATACCCACAATTTTCAGTGTAAGCAGTTAGAGGCACAACAGTACCAATCACAGTATTTGGACATTTAATCACTAAAAGCACACCCTCTGAGCTGGACACCGGTTATGAGTGCTAAATGCAGGACCTAAAAGCATGATCTTGTTGCTTGAGTCAAAAGACACAGCACTCTCAGCATAAAATGAATAGAGCCACAAAATCCAGAAACGTAGCCACTAGAAGACGAAGAGCCATGATTCTTGGGCTGCTGGGGCACAAATAAGTATAGTGGCTCCATTTAAAATAAGCCTGTTCTAGGTACGCTGAATCATAGAATGGTTTGGGTTGGAAGGGACCTCAAAGATCATCTAGTTCCAACCCCCCTGCCATGGGCAGGGACACCCTCCACTACGCCAGGTTGCCCAAAGGCAACTGAAATACTCCAGTCTCTTACTGTCAGGCAGCAGCCAAATTTTCTAAATGCTCTTGTCCGTACCCCTTATTAGCAGCAGCTGCAGTTTTGCTCCCAGTTCTCACAGTGAGATCAAAATTGCAGCTGCAGAAATAGAATTGGAGGGTTTCAAAGGCACAGACTACTGCTCAAACCCTTTCTTGCAACTGTAATACACAGAGACAGTGTTGATGATAACTCAGTGATGAAACTTCCTTATCACCCCTACGGCAGCCA